TGTGGGTCGTAGTTGAATAGAGCTTGAGTCCTTCCATACCCAGAACAAATGCCCCCATCACTGCAACTACAAAATTACTTCCTTTATACGCTGTCAGGATGAAGTCGTTCTCTACATCAACTAGCTGAGGAGCTACCTCACAGTTACATATAGAAAAATGCAATTCTATTCTACTGCAGTTCTTGAAGTAATTCCCACATACAGCCTTTTGAACTTGTGTAGATTTTAAATCATAAGAAAACAAGACCGAAAAAAAGAACCAAGAACCAAGAACGTCTGCGTTAGCGACAGCTCATAGCACAGATCAGGTTCATGACACGCTGCTGCGTTTTTGTTGCTTATAGCTACTCTTGAAGACAAGTGGCTCCTTTGAAATGTGAGTGTGGAGCATAGAGTAGGAAATACGCTTCTGCAAAGAACATGTCGTGTTTTGGGAAGTTTACACACTCTTTGTGTGGGTGAGTAAGCAGGGCCTGACCCTGCCGAACTGGGAACTCAGTGGGACTATGTCCCCGCGTGGTCCTCTCTGCTGCTAAGAGCTGTGTGATACAGCACTTTGTTTCAGCTATTTGCTTTGGTTGATGAAAATCTTGATGGGAGCAATGATGTGTAACAGTATTTCTTTGAGGAAAGCCACACTGTCTAGAAGAGAAGAACCAAACAGGAATTCTTTTTAAAAGCTAATGAATGAATTTTTTTCCCAGAAGTGTTACATCCCCATATGGCAGTGAGGTTATCATCATAGGTGTATTGCAAATGAAATCTGTTTATACTGCTTAGCCTTGCAGGGAAAAAAAGAGTATCAGTGGCATGGTTTTCAGATGGTACCTTTTAAGAGCTGATCAGTTCAGCTCAGTTCAACAAACAGGGCGAAAATTCCAAAAAGGAAAAGGCTCGTTACTAATGGCAATTCGATGTTTTAATCACTAATATGAAAAATACATGTTTAAATATACAACAAGCTTTGCCAGATTTGTGTGCCTTGTGTAACTGCCATCAAAGAAAGCTTTTTTATATTCTTAAGGGAGCACAGCGAGTCTGAATCCCAGTCCAAGGAGCTGTACGCGCTTAAAGGTACTGTCAAAGAAATCAGTGCAATGGAATGTGCAGATTTGGAGGACAGGACTTGGCAGCCATTGTGTCCCCATTAGGTAGTGCTCAAATTCAGACCAGTGAAGACGTTTTACCAGTTAACTGACTTAGATAGCTCTTTTTAAACATCTTCCAAGGAATATTTATAACTTTCTGAAAGGCCTCTTGACCATGTGAACAACCTCTTGTCAACAGCCTGTTTCTCTTCTCCCTGAAACCCTGCCATTTAGTCTCTGTGACCACCCTCACTTCACAGCTGGCATCCACAGCCCTCAATTATTGCAGAACTTGCCAGCCAGAATCAGTGTTCCTTGTCTGAGTCCCAACCCTGACTGGGACTCTCAGTCCAAAGAATCTATCTTCTTGTTTATGCAGCTCATCTAGGCTGACATCGGCCTCCTTCAAGGCAAGAAAGATGCTTGCTTTGAGAGATGCACATCAATTCTAACTACCGCTTTGTCTCTTTAATGTCACGGAAGTTCAAATATGGGGCTGATTTCATGCAGTCAAGTCTGTCTAGAACGTTTTCGTAACAGACAGTTGTATCAAAACACCTATTTGCTCCATAAAAAACTGAAGAGACCAGTGCATTCTTGCTTTCCAGTCACAAGTGACCACAAGGCCCTGAGAATAAAAAAGTTTCTCAAAAAAAGCTTGGATAAATTGGACACATCAACAAAATGTAGTCCTTTGCATATTATAATGATTCCCAGGAGTCTCAAAGTGCTTGTTGTACGTTAATGAATTATGCCTTACAACATCAGAGTGTACCAGAATAAGCATTTCCTGTTTATTTGTCTGATAGAAATGTGCTGAAGTTCCAAACTGGATCCATATTTCAGAGGTCTCCAAGTTCAAGAGTTTTTATCACCAGCTCTATATTTCAAGTTGATCTTTTCTCTGTAAGGTTTGCTATTTTCGTCATTAATATCTCCTCTTTCTGAAAAGCGTACATCTTCATAGTGTAACCCAGCACTTCTGTTGTACATTTTCATTAGTCAGCTAGTAAATAGAAATTTCAGGTTTTTCACCTCTTTTCCATGGCAGCTGTGAACATCTTAATTGTTTCAGTTTTTACCTGTTCTTGAAGCACGGGCAAAATGACCTCTGGTTTAGGGATTTTATCTGGAATAAAAGTCCTTGTAATTTCTGACGATTCAAGGGAGATGTGAAACGTATTTGTGTTAGACACAACAAGGATATTTACTATTAAAGGAATCTCCAGCACAGCTATATTGTAACTGATTAAACAGCAGAATTAGTGTCTGCGAAGTCTAGGTGTAGGTATCCTTCATTTTTATCTGCCATTCCTACTTCAACACACTTCTGTCAAATGCACTGTAGTACTTGGAAAAAATTGTGTATATGCTTAACTCTACCTATTAGCAATAAAAGAGATGTACAGGATCAGAACCAAGGATTATGACCTAATCAAAATGATCGGCAAGAAAATATAAATGAGGTATTCTTGGTGTAGCCATTTGTTAGCAGCATTACTTTTAGCAATGACTCAACCTTAGGGTTTTGCGGGATTCCGTCTGGAGTAATGTAGATCAACTACATTTTGTACGAGAAAAAAAGGGAGGAAAAAGCTTGATTAGCAGTGCTATTCTGTCTTGAAATTTTGTCTTGTAGAATATCTGAGCAATGTGCCTGAGATGAAGATAGGTTTGTTCAATTTTTGTTACTGCCTGGTTGGTGTTTGATTCCACCTTCACTGAACTCCGATTGAGAGATGGAGAAGCCTGGACTCTTTCTTGAGGCTTGAGTCACCAAAAAGCAAGCCAGATATCTGTGTGTTGCTGAAATGAGAGCAGCTAATCAGTTAGTTCAGAGCAGATATTTTGCTACTGGGCGTTATTAATCACAACTGACATGTCTTGTGGAGTTGTGCATTTCTCTATTTAAGAAGCTCTCTATCAAAATGCTCTTCACCACTTAGCTAGCACGCGTTGTTTGGTTCCTTTGGGGGTCGTAGTTGTAGGTTTTTCTTGTAAATGGCTCAGGATTTGAGCAGATGAGACGTGTGCTTGAGGAGCCCTGCCCAGCCAGCTTACAGGTTTGGACTTAATGTTGTCATACAAATTTCATAGCTTGTACTTGTGCATCTCAGTAATTCCCTGTACATCAGGCGGGTCATTTCTTTCCATATATGAGCTTTGGTTTTAAAACCACAGTAGATAATAACCATAAATGTTTCATTTGCTATAAATATTTAATAATTATTAATGATTGATGACCAGATTTTTAAGCAGAGTGATGAGTTGCATGAAATGAAGAGAACCTTCATATAATTTTCTAAGCTGTATTCTAACTATGATATGGGCTTTGCTGTGCTACTGAGATGCATGCCTGATTGGTGTTTTCATTAAAAATATTAGCACACAAGTAACAAACAGAAAAATACACTTTTTATAGTTGTATTGGCAATAAAACTAATCTGGATGGACTTCCTTTTGGATGCAAGAATTTCTATATCCGCCAATTTTCATTCCATTGTAGGGCATACCTTCTTTATGGATTATTTTAAAGATGCTTCTTCAAGAGAATGTGATTTTTATAATGCAGCACTAATAGCTGGCTGTGTTTCAGTGACTACTTTCACCTATTTTGCTTTCAATTTTTTCTAATTGCCTTTGATCTCCCTGGAGCTCTGAAGAAAAAAAAAAAAAAAACCAACCCTAAATAATGCTTATCTAATTATCAGGGCTCTTGCGTCTCTAAAAGATTTCATGAAGAATGCTGCTTTCTGATTCGTGCAGCCAGCTGAGGGTCTGAGTGCCGCTCCGGCAGACCTTTTTGGTCATCTCACCGATTCGTGAAGAATCACTTTACCAATAGGTGCCACTGTTGCTCTTCACACACGTCTGAATTGTCAGTGTCCTTCAGTTGAAAATCCAACCTTGAAAAAGCAAACCTAATGAACAGTGACTAAAATGTTGCACAGGTAAAAATCTGTACAGACCATGGCCAGAGGCTTGTCCGTGCCAAGACCAAGGTATATGCTTTATCTTGTTCCTAAAAATAATTATATTATTGCTAATCTTGAGCAAAATTAATGAAGATATAAATATGCATTGACCTAATTCCAGATATATTTAATCTTATCCTTTACCTTGCTGCAAGTTTTTTGTTGAGCCTCAGACCAATAGCAGCTGAACCTTGCAAATATCTCCTCTGGATCAAATGTGATTTAAGTGCAGAAGTTGCACATCAGTGCAATAAGAATTTGGACTTCTATCAGCACTTTTTATATTGATTGTTCACATATTTTCTCAACTAGTGAAGTATCAGGGGGGCTATCCAGCAGTATAAAGGCCACCTATAGCTATTTCTTCTAGGCTTACTGTTTGCTAACGTAAGGTCAGCTAATGGAGTTCACTTTGCAGCTTATCTACTAAGTGCTATTCAGTATGTAAAGCCAAGGGCAATCAAGGTCTGCTTGCTTACTGCATTAGGAGAAACCTTGGTTCACCTTGTCCTTAGGTACGCAGCCTTTTCATATGTTTTACCTTATTCTTGGATGTTTCAGACACACTGTGGATAACACAAGTTTCTTTTCTACTCTTGGCTTTGAAGAAATGTATAGCAAGCTGTGTAAAAATGAAAAAACAGCTAAAGACAAAGAAATTAAGAGATTTATATCCTTTCAAGTTCAATCCCCTCTTCTGTTTGTTTTTTCTTTCTTACTGCAACTATTCATTGACTGGAAACCAACAGATGAAAGTTTTGTTTTCAGTGATTTAACATCTTCTGAAATATTCCGAGACATCTGCAGGAGTGTAAGCCAGCAACTCTTTCTAACTGGTAGGCAGCTCTCCACCTATATAACCTAATTCTCATTCCTTCTGCATGGAACAGATCACTCACGTACATGAGCAACAAGCTGTATTAAGTAGTACTTAAGATCACCCTAAGCAGTTTACACAGAGGCCTCTCACCAGTGGGCCAGTGGCTTGCAGATATTTCTGACCTCCTCGTAGTTCAGGATTCTGCTAAAGTTTTGGGGAAGATGTCCCTGATTGGAAAGGAGGTCATGAGTTTTAGCTGGTTGTCTCAGTTGACGAGTAGCAAAAGCAGAAATCAGCGGGCTTCCATAGGAAATGGTGTAGACACTGTTCATCACGCCATCTTCTTCCTTGTGCCATTTTTTCATCAGGTGCTCCAGAAGGCCATAGTTGGTGGGTGGTTCTGAAACAGGAAATCATTAAATATTAGAAACGATAGAATTAAATTTCTGGTTCTGGTGTTTCTACTCCACAGTTGTCAGAGGGAATATTTGTACTATTTTGGCAGCAGATTAAGGACAAAACAGATCTTTTTGTTCCCAGGGCATGTGTGTCTACCCTCTGGCTGGAAGGGAAAATCACTGTTAGATGTTGATAGGACAGCAGTAATGGTATAAATGTAAAGAGTCCTGATTATTCATAGTTTCTCTGGTAAAGTTAGCAGAGCTGTACATGTCACTTAAATTCAGGCACATAATAACACTCGTGAATACTCCTGCTAGTTGTATCTCACAGCTCTCCTTGTTTTCAGCTGGTGTCTTACATTATTGTATAGGGGGAAGAAATCTGTGCATTGACACTATCCTTCACTGCTTCCTGTGGTGATTAAGTATTCTTGTATGGATATCATTTCCACTTTATCAATCCAAAAAATTAGCTAGTGACTGGGCAAGAAAGTAGCCAACAGTCATCACAAGATCCGTTTTCAGAATTAAAACAGAAGGAGGTTCCTGGCTCTAAGTCTATATATTGACCACTGCACCATGTTGGGGTGGTCAGCTGGGGAGGGACTTTTTACAAGGGTGTGTAGTGACAGGACACGGGGCAATGGCTTTAAACTGAAAGGGGAGATTTCGATGGGATCTAAGGAAGAAATTTTTCACTCTGAGGGTGGTGAGGCACTGGCACAGGTTGTCCAGAGAAGCTGTGGCTGCTCCATCCCTGGAATTGTTCAAGGCCAGGTTGGATGAGGCTTTGGGCAACCTGGTGTAGTGGAAGGTGTCCCTGCCCATGGCAACAAGGTGATCTCGAAGGTCCTTTCCAACCCAAACCATTCTGTGATTCTATGATTCTATGTTCCATCTGATTGAATTAATAATGCCAAAAAATACCAAGAATGGGGAAATCTGGCTTCTGAGGAAACCAGGCAAGCTTGTGTCCATTCCAGCTGCGGAGGAGAGGCAGCACAGGGTTGTAACCGTGTCTATTGTATTTATCGTCGTACTCCGATACTAAATTTCGTCTTCGTGGTTCCTCGTGATGGGTGAAGAAGTGCTGCACTGGCAGGCCCTGAAATGAGATGTACAGGAAACCACGCTGCTTGTCTCTGTACGCAGCATTCAGGTGGCGTTTGAGTCAGACTGTGCTGCAAGCGATACCACAAAAGCGTGTCTGTGCTTATGTTACTCTTACTTATAATTTAATCCCTGAAAATAAAGGCATTTGCATTTCAAGTAAAGTAATACTGGATGAGGGAATTGAATGCACCCTCAGTAAATTTGCGGACGACACCAAGCTGGGAGGCTGTGTCGATCTGCTCGAGGGTAGGGAGGCCCTTCCGAGGGATTTGAACAGACTGGATCGTTGGGCTGAGGCCAATGGCATGAGCTTTAATAAGGCCAAGTGCAGAGTCCTTCACTTGGGGTATAAAAACCCCAA